TTACCTTATCTGTTCTTTTTAATCAAACCTGTATAGAGGAAAAATAAATAAATAGCAAATAAAATTTCAGAGTTTAAACTGTGACGTTAGGAGTATAAAAACAATCCTATATGAAACAAGGGATAAAGGTCTACTCCTGTTCAAAAGACCAAGGATGTGTGTGAACCGGACGAAAAAATATAAAACAAAAACAAATTAACAATGATTTCGCTGACTACACAGTTGATAAACAAACTCGTGTACTTTTCTTTTGAAATTTTTAAACTTTAAAAATTTATTAATTTCAAAATATAAGACATTCATGAATCTATCACGCCAACCATCATGGCCCTGCATCAAGGTCTGTATGTCATTAGGATGACATCCTATGTCATTAGGATGACATCCTATGTCATTAGGATGACATTCTATGTCATTAGGATGACATCCTATGCCATTAGGATGACATCCTATGTCATTAGGATGATATTCTATGTCATTAGGATGACATTCTATGTCATTATATAGTTCTTTAATGGTTGTTGCGCGGCTAACACATCTTGCACAATGGCTAGGTGTCCAGAGCAGTAGATCACTCACAAGTTCTTGCTCTTTCTGACCTGATTCCTGCAAAGAACATTCTGCGTTCACGTAAAATTGTAGAAATATCAGGGATGGGTTCATAGAGCTGTTGGATCTTGTCTCCAAGAGATGTTATGTATAGCTATCAGCATCCAAGTGTAGGTTTTATCAAGTTTAAACTCAAGGTTTTTAGTTAATGCCCAAGCAGTGGCACAATACATTAAAAGCGATGTCACTATAAATGTCGTTTTAATGGTACACGGGTTTGAGTAGCTATATCTATTTATTTACAAATTACCGTATCTGTATATCACCAAAAATTCTTTAACGAAAATATGCCTTTTGGCAGTGTACTAATGTATATAAAACATTATAACGCAGAAATAGTTGGCAATAGCGTTAAAGCTAAGACAAACGACCATCTTTTCTTTCTAATGTACCTAAGCATAAAAAATAGACCCTCAAATAATAGCGTGCATAAAAGAGGAAGAGGGTGCGACGATCCAGGGCATCCAATCAAAGAGTGGAATAAAAATTTAGCTTATATTTAAATTTAATAAAGTGTTTATTTCATGTTTCATCTCTTTTTACATATTTAAAATGTCTTCCTTTCTTACATTTCTCAGTACGAGGCACACGATCAAAAAAGTTGGTCTCGGCCATCACCAAACTTCTGAACGTTAGTGTACAAGAAGATAAGTTGCATGGCTAGATGGCCACGGGATGTACTATCCTGCAAAATGAATGGATCATTCATGCTGCAACTAAATTCAGTCTTTAGCATAAATAATAGTCAATGTAGTTAAAATAAAAAAATAAAAGATGAGAGCCACATCCTCAATTTTCGACTTGGATTTTTTTCATTATTAATATTTTATTTTTTTTATTTTTTTTTCTATATTAATTTGATTGATGATCTCCCGATTTTAGACCCTAACAAAATGTCGTATTCTCTCTCTTGGCCGGTGATCGCTAGATGTTTTGGTTCAGAGATGAAAACACGGAAAACTTGAACTTAACTGTTATTAATGTCGACATGTACTAACTATCCAGTGGAGGTTGTTCCCCCTCACTGGGGAGCCGTTTCAGACACAGGAGAGAAAACGTCTACATAGGTTGAGGTTTAAGACTCGACTCGCTGATAAACCTTTCTCGGTCAATCATTCCCACGCTAGTTCAGCCAATCAAAATCGACTTCCTTATTATGTCTTGCATCTGGCCCCATGGTCAACCTCAGGAAGTAACAGCAAAGGGTACACTTCCTCTAAAAAAATAATAGTCTGCTAAACTATTATTTAACAAAAAAAAAGACAAGTGCGATGTCTGTCGCTTCGTTGTCGAGTATGACCATCGCAAGCTATCATTGTAAAACGCCATTGTGATTTCTATCACAATCTACTTTTACAATGATATCTTCTTTTACAATATCACGAAAATGGCCGTGCATTAAATTTTTAATGTGCAAAATTATTTCACTAAGTCAATCCGACACTGCTGAGCAAGAACAACATATACCCCTCCCCCACAAAAAAGTAACAGTCAATGGATACTTTCGAACCGCAGGTATTTCACCAGTGTTTTTCTTCTTCTAGATGGATGTGCCAACGAAGGCTAAAAGTTCCAGCACTCACAAGGGGCTTATCCTCATGCATGTTCTATATGGCCGTTCATGGTATGAAATGGTGCAGCCATACTTTGACGGACATTTTTTTTATCCTACTATGTGTCTAGTCACCAGAAAAACCTCATGACATAATTGGTTTAGTCGCCGATAACCCGGCCATGCGGTAACTAGTACAAGTAATACTGGCTTAGTTGGCACCAGTAGCATATATATATATATATATATATATATATATATATATATATATATATATATATATATATATGGACTGTGTGTGCGTATGTATTTGTGAATGTGTGTGTGTGCGCCCTCGCGTTTTGTGTGTATGGATGGATGCAGATAGACAGGTGTAATTTCTCTACATATAAATAGTCTTTGCGCAGACATAAACCTACATTTGATCATATAAACATATACATTAATGCACAAACGCACACAAACACACACACACACATGCAGACACACACACACACAAAATAAACGGGTTGTACGGAAAATTTTCGGTCCGCCGAAAAAAAAAATCCTCTCGACAAAAAATTTAGTCATTAGTTCGGGCCAAGTAAAACTTACAAATAAAAATGTGATTTTATTAGTATTAATAGTAGTAACTTTTAGTACTATATATATATATATATATATATATATATATATATATATAGTATTAATAGTTGTTGGTAGATAGTTGTGTATATATATATATATATATATATATATAGTACACGTGTTAGTAGATATTATGCCTAGATATATATATATAGTACCCGTGTTAGTAGATAGTATATATATATATATATATATATATATATATATATATATATATATATATATATATGTGTGTGTGTGTGTGTGTGTGTGTGTGTGTGTGTGTGTGTGTGTGTGTGTGTGTGTGTTTTGAACAATAAAAATTATTAAAAAATTATAATCTTCAGACACACTGGGTTGTATATTAATATTCTTTCGTTTTTATTATTTCAGTTAGATTCCTCGACTAGTTTCGGCCAACATGGCCATCATCAGCAGAAAAAACATCTTCTGCTTGTTAGTAGCAGTGAAGTGCCGAAATATATATATATATCATATGGTGGAAAAGTGGTCAGCTCCTTGTATCTCTCCAGAAAGTTTCTGACACCTCCTGCAATGCATTTTCAAGAATCGCATTTAACTAAAAATAGATTATTACTGACATATCTGGGCTGTAGCTACCCATGCTCACTGTTCTGCTTTTATGTACCGTGAGCCCTCAAGATGTAGTTCCACCAGCCATATACTCAAGCTCATCAAGTATGTTATGGTTTTATTTTACTCTTGTCTCTCTACCCGTCCCGTGAGTATTAGATTTTCCAAGCTCTCCTTCCTCATTATGTACCCCAGAAATTTCAGCGGTCTCTTCCTGATGTTAAGTATTAATTTTCTTTTTGATTCTGTTGTGGAGTGATTTCACTGTGGAGGCTTGTATTTGTACTAAGTCGGTCCTAAAATAGGTTCGACTTAAAAAAAGTTAGGAATTTGATATAATAGGTATGACGCAGAGTAATCTAGTGGTGGTCGCTGATACTTTCGTATTCGACTAACTGTCGTCCGACATCGACTCACTCACCGACTGACTGACTCACCGACTCCCCCGTTACTCTTACTACTCCTACGTATTATAGATGGGAGAGTCTATTAACTATAGAATAGGTGTGTTCCACTATAACAGTTTCAATCTTCTCCAAAACCTCGTTGTTGCTCACATGTTCGGTCCATGGAAACTTCAGCATCATTCTGTAGAACCGCATAAATGTTGCTTCAAGTTTGCTCGTCCAGAACTCACTGCCACACAGAAGGACAAAAAAAAAACAGTTTAGTACTCCTTCCCTTGTTTCTATGAGGAGTATGAGGATAAACTACATCCGGCAGCAATACCACAGATTACGAGGTTTGAGAAGCATGGAACCACGTCTTAATTGCTGATGCTTCCAGGTCCACTCAGGCCCGGGATGCTGACACCTGTTAGGGTTTCAGCTATGGGGAAATAGTTGACCCGCAAACTGTAGGTAAGGGGTCAAAACTCTACGAATGTATAAAAATAGGTTTTAATACCAGCAATACATTTTTGAAAAAAAATGTATTACCAGCAATACATTTTTGAAGTAAAAATTATTACCAGTAATAAAAATCTGGACGGCATTAAATAACCCATTGAGGTTGATATGCCGTAAAACAAACGAAACTAAACCTGTTTCTTAGAACTAGCGTTTACAGAGGTCATAAGCGTCTATTCGTTCATGCATGTGATGAATTATTGTCCAGCTTACAACCGCTTTCCTGTAGATGAAACATTGTATGCCTCTTGCTACTTTATCGCAATTGCCATGGGAAATGTTCTAACATGCAACATTCCTTATTTCTACCAAACATTTACAGATAGGACAAATCATGCCACATCCATAATGTCAAATCATCCTCATTCCTTCAATATTTCATTGGTAAGAAAGAAGTTCTCTTACCAAAACAAAACATTACTTTGTGGAACAGACATTTGAGAGGATGCTGCCCGAGCACTAAAATTTTAACATCTTTAGATCTAAGGCCAATCTTTGTCTATCCTACATATTCTTATAATCTACACTTCTAATCTCCTCTTATGTCCATATCATAACGTCGTTTAGTAATCCTCTACTTTGAGTGGCTCTCGAGCTAGTTACTGAGTGAACGATAGTAAATAAAAAAAATGAATGGAAACAGCTCGGTTGTTTTCTCCCTAAAGTCACTGCGTGTTTGATGACGAAATAAGATCGAAATCGTGTTGGCGACGATAACGAAGTCGAGTGTCATGGAGATGGCGGTGAGTGTGATAAAGTCAGGGAAAAAGAGAGTTGAAATGAGGATGAACAAGAGCGAGATGAAGAGAAAGAAAATTCTCTCACAATGTCTTATGAATTCATCGAACGATGTACCCTACTCCGCCATACCCCATTCTTTCTACCCCAATAACCAGCCCTTGCTCTTCACCCGAACCAATCCTTTACGATTGTTCCGCAACCCCCTACACCGGATCAGACAACCCCACCCTTTGGCTATTTCATTCGCCTTGTTCTTTTATCAGCATCGCTTTCAACCACCCACTTTATCCCCATAGTTATCTTCTTTCTTTTTTTTTTTGTTTGTTGTTGTTTTTTTTTTGTTTTGTTTTTTGTATTGTTAAATTTTTCTTTTCCGTTTTCTACTTACTCTTTCTTTCATTTCATTTATCCTCTCTTTTTCTTCGTCTTTGTTTATTTTTATCATAACATTCTCTATCACTCTTTGTTTCTTTCTTTCTCTCACAGACACATACAAACACAGATAAAACATTTCATACACTTTACTATGGTTATTTATCGTTTATCCCCATATTTTGCTATCTTTTCCTATTTGCTTTCTTACATTCCGATCTTATTTCAAGCGTTCTATCTTTCATTGCATTCGTTTCTTTTTCACATGGTCTTTCCGGTATATTTTTCTTTCTTTCTTTCTTTATTTTATTCTTTCTTTCTTTAATTTTTTTCGCGGTTCTTTGTTTATCTCTTTCTTTCTTTTCGTTTTTCTAAAATTCTTTCTTTCTTTCTTTTTTCTTTCTTTTCGTTTTCCACAGTTCTTTCTTTCTCTTTTTCTTTCTCTCTTTTTCTTTCTGTTCGTTTTTCCACAATTCTTTCTTTCTCTCTTTTTCTCTTTTTTTTTCTGTTCGTTTTTCCACAATTCTTTCTTTCTCTCTTGTTCTTTCTTTTTTCTTTCTTTTTGTTTTTCCACAATCTTTTTTCTATCTTTCTTCCTTTCTTTTTTCTTTTTTTCCACAATTCAATCTTTCTCTCTTTTTCTTTGTTGCTTTCTTTCTTTTTCTTTTTCTTTTTCTTTTTCTTTTCTTTCATTCTTTTCTTTCTTTCTTTCTTTTCGTTTTTCTACAATTCTTTCTTTCTTTTTTTTTTCTTTCTTTCTTTTCGTTTTCCACAGTTCTTTCTTTCTCTTTTTCTTTCTCTCTTTTTCTTTCTGTTCGTTTTTCCACAATTCTTTCTTTCTCTCTTGTTCTTTCTTTTTTCTTTCTTTTTGTTTTTCCACAATCTTTTTTCTATCTTTCTTCCTTTCTTTTTTCTTTTTTTCCACAATTCAATCTTTTCTCTTTTTTCTTTGTTGCTTTCTTTCTTTTTCTTTTTCTTTTTCTTTTTCTTTCTTTCTTTTCTTTCTTTCTTTCTTTTCGTTTTTCTACAATTCTTTGCCACTTTCATTCGTTCATTCTTTCTTTTCATTCTTTCTTTCTTCGTTTTCCTTTTGCCACAATTCTTTCTCCTCCATTATTTTCTTTTTTCTTTTTTTTCTTTTTCTTCCTTCTTTCTTTCTTTTCGCTGATTTCATTGTCAGATATAAATTTTTTGGTTGTTTTCTTTTTTCAAACCTTCATTATTTTTATTTTTATTTATTTGATTCATTTTCACATCTTACTTTCTACGTTATTTTGATTTTCTTCTTTATTTTCTCCTATCTATTTCTCTTCGTGTTCTTTTTGCTAGATCATTTATGACTGAATAGTGAGTTCGATCCTCACTGGGTTTCCAAAACTTCCGGTCATGTGACACATATAAGATGCGCTTATAAAATCACTATCTCCTTTTTCTTTCTTCGTTTTCATTTTTTCAACAATTCATTTTCCTTCACATTTTCTTTCTTTGATTCGTTTTCTTTTCTTTCTTTCTTTCTTCCTTTCTTTCTTTCTTTCTTTCTTTCTTTCTAGATTACTATGATTTCCTTTAACATCTCACTCATATCTATGCTTTTCTTTCGCTTTTCATTCTTTCTTTCTTTCTTTCTTTCTTTCTTTCTTTCTTTCTTTCTTTCTTTCTATTCCGGCAAGTTTTCTTTTGCTTTTTTTCCTTTTTTTCTTTCTAGATTACTTGACTTTTCTTTATCAACTCACTCATACATATTCCTTCCTTCCTTCCTTCCTTCCTTCCTTCCTGTCTTTCTTTCTGTTTCGTTTTTCTACAATTCTTTCTTTCTTTTTTCTGTCTTTATTTATTTCTTTTCCAGTGAGTTTGCTTTTTCTTTCTTTCTTTCTTTCTTTCTTTCTTTCTTTCTTTCTTTCTTTCTAGATGACTACATTTTCTATATCTTATTCATATCTACTCTTTTCTTTCCTTCTTTATTTCTTTCTTTCTTCATGTGTTTCTTTCTACGTTTCGTTTTTCCACAATTCTTTCTTGTTTTTTCTGTCTTTATTTATTTTTTTTATTCCGTGAGATATCTTTGGCTTTCTTTCTTTCTTTCTTTCTTTCTTTCTTTCTTTCTTTCTTTTTTTATTTATTTATTGATTTTCCAGTGAGTTTTCTTTTCTTTAATTATTTCTTTCTTTCTAGATCACTTTGATTTTCTTTATCTTCTTATTCATATCTATTCTTTTCCTCCTTCATTCATACATTCTTTCTTTCTTTTTTCTTTCGTTTTTCTTTCTTTCTTTCTTTCTTTCTTTCTTTCTTTCTTTCTTTCTGTCTTCGTTTCGTTTTTCCACAATTCTCTCTTTTGTTTGTTTGTTTGTGTCTTTCTTTCTTTCTTTCTTTCTTTCTTTCTTTCTTTCTTGTAAGTTTTCTTTTTAGTTTCTCCATCTTTTCTTATATTCTTATTCTTATTCCCATCCTGTCGTCTTTCTCTTTTTTTTATTTTCCATGTTCTTCTACATTTATTTTTTAATTATTTTCTCTTATTTTAATTACCATTTTTATTTTATTTTATATTTTAATTTTTTTTCATACGTTCGCTTTTCTTTTTTCTCGCTATTTTTTCTACCGCATAACACCGTCCTCCACTACTCCCCTCAATCTTTTGCATCCACCCCTACCATCCTGGACCCCTCCTCTCTCCGCCAGTGACTTGATGTTCGGTCGGCGGCGAGTCTTCATCGTCCCATATGAGCATATACAATAGTATTAGCGGCGTATAAAAACCCCGGCCGACCATCCCGTCCATGCTACACCGGTCATAATCACAGGGCTTAATTATCACGTTGACGGACGACAGATCAAAAGCAAGAACGGGCGAGCAGTCGACTTGATTTGCCTACCGATGACGCGTCAGGGAGTCTGTTTATGGGCTGTTGGCTGATATTACCTTCCGCAAGAGTGCGTCACGAGCAACTCTTCTTCTGCCGGGGATGGAAGGGGTGAGAAAGAAAGAGAAATAAAAGGGATGAGTGGTTAAAAAAAAGGGGGGTAAATCTTCGAGGTGGCAGCGAAGGTGGTGTTCTTAGAGGAAAAAAAACGAAAAAGAAGTTCGTGTAGAAAGAAAGAAAGAAAGAAAGAAAGAAAGAAGGAAAGAAAAGACAAAGAATGGAAAGTATATGAATGAATAGCAGAAGAAAAATATAAGAAATAGTATGAAAGGGAAAAGGAATCCGGAGAAATCTATGGCAGATAACATTTGGAAACGAAAGGAAAGATAAACAGAAATTGAAATGGACGGAATGAAAAAAGTGAAGGGTAGATGTTAAGAAAGAAACGATTATTACGAAACTGCAATAAACAAATTAAAAAGAGCAGGTTAGAAGAAGAAGAAGAAGAAGAAGAAGAAGAAGAAGAAGAAGAAGAAGAAAAAGAAGAAGAAGAAGAAGACATTTGAGAAGGACACGACGTTAAAATTTAGAGAACGTTAGAAATATGGAAAAATCCTTAAAATACACAATAAAGAAAAACAAGAAAGAAAGAAGTTTTGCATTAGGACTGGCTCATGGTCGAAACAAGAACAAATCAATGGAAAGAAAGAAACAATTATTATTATCATTATTATTATTATTATTATTATTATTATTAAGAAGAAGAAGAAGAAGAAGAAGAAGAAGAAGAAGAAGAAGAAGAAGAATTCAGTATACAGATGAAATTTGAATCTGGAAAACATTAGATACACGACAAGATTGGAAGAATACAATGCATAAAATAGAAAGAAAGAAAGAAAGAAAGAAAGAAAGAAAGAAAGAAAGAAAGAAAAAGCTTCCATGTTTGGACGGGTTCGTGTCTGAAACAAGAAAGTAAAAACAAAAGTGATCTGTTTGAATTTGTGAGGGTCGGATGTGGTGGGGCACGAAAGAGGGTTCGGCGTTCTTTAAGGTGCATCATTTCATGACTCGTCATAAAACGCTTCGGTTGGCATGCAGGCAGTCGTTTGAGGTGCATTATTGCGACCTTTCGCCGATACAGATGAACGCATTTCGATGAGCAGACCACAACATGGATATTTGCGTCTCCGGCACAACCGTCCGGGCTCGAGTGTCCCGTGGTCTGGCACTGTTCGCTGATCTCTGACCACTGACTACGTGTTTACGTGCATCCGCGGTGTAGACTGTCCGACAAGAAAGGCAAATAAAAACAATGAAGAAAGAAGTCAGAGAGAATGTACATTTAAATAATAAGCACCATCCGTTGTTGGTTTTATTTTATGCCGGCTAACTTTGGTTGATATGCTTAATGGATATCGTAGATTACACGGTTAACTTTGGTGGATATGTTTAATGGATATCGGAGATTTTACATGTATTAAAAAGAACAACTCGTGTAAGTTAGTATTATTGAGTCAAATGCATACTTTGTCAGGGGATGCACGCATATAGAGTAAGACGAAAGGAGAGTAAGAACATTGACCAAGAGTTCCATATATTGTTTCAGATATGTTCATACTCTAAATAAATTAAGCAAAGGGGCCGAATTAGGGAAAGAAATGCCTGCAGACTAGAGGAACTAGATATTACATAATCAAACCGGATGTTTGTGTAAAAGATTAAAAACCAGACACAGAAAGAAATATGCAATAACTCATAGACAAGGTTTATTTGTTTTGTTTATTTTACGGTATATCAACTCCTTATGGGTCATTTAATGCCAAAATTTAATTTTCTTGTTGAGCTTTGAAGTAATTAATATGTTATTCTGCTTTCACAATTGTTCTTATACATATCTGTGTGGACATAATTATTTGAGGAAGTAAAGTGTGTATTTTATATAGTAGTTTTGTTGGAATACAGTTTGATTTAAGAAAGTGAAGTATATGACATAATTTAAAGCCAAGAAATGTTTTTTCGGGTCGGTTAGTTCGTTAATTAGCAGCATATCAACACCTATATGGGTTATTTAATGCCGAAATCGAAATATTTTGAACGCAGTTGCATGCCTTCAACTACAGATAAAACCTATTGTCGGTCATTATATTATAAATTAGTATTGCTGGTCATTTTGCTATAGAAATATACTGCCGGTAATCTTACTATTATTATGTATTTTTATACTTTCATAGTGTTTTATTTTTGTTTGGGGGGGGGTCATTATTTGCCCATAGCTGGGACCCTAACAGGTGTTACCACCTTGGGTCATGGTGAACCTGGGAACAGCAAAAATGTTCCTCAAACTCTCCCGATCGGAGGCCTTACTGCCGGTTGTAGTTTATCGTCATACCGAGAACGGAAGTGCTATGTAATATCAATCCTCCTATCTGGCAGTAGACAATGAGGAGGAGACTTGAGACCACAGTGCTGTGGTTCTATAGTAGGATGCTGAGAATACTATGAAGGGCGCATGTAAGCAATGAGGAAGTTTAAAGGAAAATGGAAACAAAAAAGAAACGTTTAGTTAAAATCAGAAAGAAACACAAAATGAGGAAATAAGTCTTAGAGAATATGATACCCACAGGACATTGAAGGCAACAGAGGAGTCTAGGAGGACGGTGAGTAACCTGCCTAACAGCCCCCAAAGATTGAAAGGGAAAGGAAAAAGCTAAACATTTCCAAGCGCTATATAGAATAGGAAGTTGTAGAAAGCCATGATCGCACATGTTCTGAAGGGCCACGGTAGTTAAAGTGTTAATAGCATCAATAACTTTTAAAAGTATCTATTTTAAAATAAAAGTGACAAAGACAAAATATACTGGATGATGAAAGTTGAACCAATTTAAAGTGATGTCTATCAAATTTTTTTTTTTTTTTTTTTTTTGTAAAAGTCGTTTTGAATGTGACGATAGTGGGTGACAGTAGTCTTGAGCCTGCTTAGGAAGGCAAGATCATGAAACCACGCCCTTTAATCAACCTGTAGTGCGATCAATATCCCTGCCCAAAGCCGCATCTTACCAATTAAGCCATGTCCTGTCATTCTGACTTACCAATGCTTCACACACTGCCTTCAAGCATCTGCTGTTATACTTCCCGATCTATGTTTTGTCGGCGGTGGGCACGTTGAGGTGTTATGACACATATATGCGTGACACCTAGGCAAGTGGTGTTTTAGAGTGCCTCGTTCATTGGTCTTCCTTCGAACCAGTGTGCATGATATAGTTGACGATGCGGTTCTACTCGGTCTCTGAACCGTTTAGGATGGGGGCTACACATCACGTGTTACCGATTAGTGGTCACTAGATGTCTTCGTTCGGATAGTCTAGCGGTCATTTTGCCTCATCGGTTAGCAAATGGAGATGCGATCGAGCTTTATCTGGCTCTGAGTTGCGAAGTAGTTATGAAGTAGGACCGCGTCGACCAGTCCTTCCTGAGGGGCAAAGCATCTGGTGTCGTGGAGATATTCACCTAGCAGTGCAGCTACCAAAATTGCTGGACCGGAAGTCTAAGTTAGCTGTTTTGGAAAACTCGCTTGCTGGTGAGACCTTCATTCCTCCGCTCTGTTACCTGGCCTGAAGTTTGGATGTACTCTATCGTCCACCTAGAGTATAGTCCAGAAATGAACAAAAATATTTCTTGGCCAATACATCTGTTACCAATTAAAATTTTCTGTACTATCGTTGATATGGAAAATGCAGCCCCCCCACTTTTTATTCTTATATCATAATTCTTTGGAGATTGCATCTTCATCACTGAAGGGGAAAGACGTATTGTGCGATAGCAATACATAATACTTCAGGAAGACATTGTCTAATTCTGTAAAGTTGATTATAAATCATAGGAAACGATTATTTTTGTTAATTACAAAAGCAAACATTTCAGAATGTTCTCATTGTGTTTACGCCTCAAGCAAAGAAAATAAGATCGTGAGGCGCAGACACTTTGTTGAACTGTATGACGATAAACTACATTCGGCATCAAAACCTATGATCGGGAGATTACAGGTTTTGAGGAACTTGAAATCACCTCTTAACCATTGTTATTCCCAAATACACCCTGATCCGAGGTGATAGCACCTGTTATGGTACCACTTATGGGCAAATACTTAACCCCAAAACAAAAATCAATAGCGTATTTTTATACCAAAATTACAAACAATACATTTTTAAAGCAAAATGTCAAATAATACAATACTAAAAAAGTATAAAAATACATATTTAAAGTGTTTACATTGTTCGGACTATTGCCATAATCTTTGTTTCCATATTCACGACGTTTCGGCTGTTGTACACTCCAGCCTTCTTCAGATGATTGGAATTTTGAACCGAACACTTTATTTCCTCCACCGGGGTAGATCGTTCGTTCCACGTGCCATGCTTCTTCCGGGTATCTCAGTTTCAGTTTTATATGCCCTTGAGTAACACAGCTCTTCAAGTTTTTATTCACCTCTGCTGTGTCCAGGTATTCAACTCACAAAGATGACATCAGTCCGAACAATGTAAACAGAGT